ATCTTCCTTTGCAGGTTCTTGGGGAGATTCAGGAGATTGTGAAAACAGGTTTGTGGGTCGGTGACTGCTTTATTTACACCAGTTCTGTGAACAGACTCAACTACTATGTGGGAGGAGAAATTGTCACTATTGCCCATTTAGACAGGTAAGTTGCTGTTTCGGGTTATAAGCAAGTGTTAAAGGTTCTTGCAGTGAAGTAAACCTTGTCACCTGTTTGCTGTGCATTACATTAGCATGGCAGGTAAGAACAAGTTGTATGTTCTGAGGCAGTAAAGCAGTCCTGAAGGGAATAAACAGTGCACATCTAGTAAAAGTAGATTATCTTATGTGAGTATTCTTGCTACTGTAAGAATTACTGGAGGGTTTCTTACAGACTGTTTTGTAGTAGATCTGTTGCAGATGAAAATTCTTTGTTTTGTTTCAGAACAATGTATCTTCTGGGGTATATCCCTAAGGACAACCGACTTTATTTGGGTGATAAAGAGCTAAACATTGTTAGCTACTCTTTGCTGGTCTCAGTGCTTGAGTATCAAACTGCTGTGATGAGGAGAGATTTCGGCATGGCTGACAAAGTTCTTCCCACAATTCCAAAGGAACAGAGAACCAGAGTTGCACATTTTCTTGAAAAACAGGCAAGAAAACTACTTCTTAGTTATGAAACTAAATAAATCAGTCAATTCACATTTTTACATGTTTGCTAAGCAAAACCCAATTGTGTTATCTGTAAGCATAAAGTCTTGTTAATTATCTCTGTTTGTTTGAGAATGCTGTAATCTCCTGTTCAGGGTGTTTTTGTTCAAATGTTTAGGATTCTGTGTGACCTGACAGGTTCCCACCTAACCTCACTTTCACATTTTATTTTAGGGCTTCAAACAACAAGCTCTTGCAGTATCTACAGACCCAGAGCACCGTTTTGAACTTGCTCTTCAACTTGGAGAATTAAAAATAGCTTATCAGCTTGCAGTGGAAGCAGAGGTAAATATCTAATTTTTGGTGCTTGATACTGATTCTAGGTAGTAGTGTCAATCTGAGAGGCCCCCTAACAAAGGCCAGTGGTGTGTAGGGATGCAGTACAACTCTCTGAACATAATATAAATGCTTCCAACTCCTTTGATGGAGCTGTTCTGCAATTCAAAGGCATCTGAGGTGTGGGATGAGGTCAGAAGAATGTTGTCTGCTCAAAAAGCTACAGAAACTCCTGGAGAACACAAAACTTGAGCCAAGAACCAAGCCTTAATCTCCAGTATTTCACAGTGAGGGGAGGACACGGCTGAAGCCTCTAGGCCTTTGTTCCATCCAGCCTTGGCAAACTTAGACTACACTAGAGGGGCTGGAAGGCAGTGATTTGTCCCTTAGCCATTATTCAGGGAGTTGATCTCAGTTCCTGCTGTAAAATAGTAGTTAGTGATAAGGAATGTTAACTTAGTTACAGACAGAAATGCCTTTCTGCATTCTACAGGTTAACTTGGGAGCTGTAAGAGATTGTTACCGTTTAAATTTCCAAAGTATTCCTACCCCCCACACACACACACGTTTATATCATGTAATGGTGTGGCTGCGTAATGATCTGCTCATAACATTCACTGTGTCATGCTGTGAAGCTACAGTAATCACAGCATCTCAAAGAGAAGTACAGTGATAAGAGACAACACCTTCACAAGTAAAGTTACATTTTCATATTGAGTGCTCTGAAAATCTTCAACTGCTGTTCAAAACTGTGAGTGGTTTGGGTTTTTTTATTTCCCTCTCTCTCCCCTTTCTGCACAATTAGTCAGAACAGAAATGGAAGCAGCTTGCAGAGCTTGCCATCAGTAAATGCCAGTTTGGCTTAGCCCAGGAGTGTCTCCACCATGCACAAGACTACGGAGGATTGCTGCTCCTGGCCACAGCCTCGGGAAATGCCAACATGGTCAACAAGCTGGCTGAAGGTGCAGAAAAAGATGGCAAGAATAATGTGGCATTTATGAGCTACTTCCTGCAGGGAAAGTAAGTAGCAAACAAAGATATTCTGATTGTTCTGTTCTGCTTTCTCAAGAACCTCAGGTTCTTCAAGAGGTTAACTACAGATAACCAGTTCATGGAGAAAGATGGTGGCAGGTACCTTCTCAGAAAAGCTGACTGTATTGTGTGATGGCTGCCAGATTTAAAATCTGAAATGAGAGCACTTATATTAATGAAACAGAATAAATTGCTGATCCGATACAAGAATTTGTCTTTATCAAATTTACTGCTTAAAAATCACATTTTAAAATCTTTTAGGATTGATTCATGTTTGGAGCTCCTGATTAAAACTGGGCGTCTCCCAGAAGCTGCTTTCCTTGCACGGACCTATTTGCCAAGCCAAGTGTCAAGGTAATCCCCAAGCATCTGCAGAGCATGAGGAGTGGTGTTAAAATGAGCTGTCTATAACCAATGTGGTTTGCATCTCCAGGGTGGTTAAACTGTGGAGGGAGAATCTCTCTAAAGTCAATCAAAAAGCTGCTGAGTCCCTTGCTGATCCTACAGAATATGAAAATCTTTTCCCTGGATTAAAGGAAGCTTTTGTGGCTGAAGAGTTTGTTAAACAAAGTCTTGCTGCCTTGAGGCCAGCCAGGGAGTACCCTCTGGTCACTGTAAGTGGGATATTTTGTTGTCTCTAGAAGAAAAACATTCAGTGCTGTGTAAAATCAGCTTTAAGCAAGTTATGGCAACATTATACATGTTTTGGTGTTTTTACATTTAGCCAAATGAAGAAAGAAACTTACTTGAAGAAGCAAAAGGATTTGAGCCTTCTGGAATAATGGCATCTCAGGTCAGTGTTACTGCTAAGTGATGAATTCTGACAGACAACTTTGCTCTTGGATACTAGTATCTACCTTGGAGAATATTTCACCAATAATGGACAAATTATTGCTCTTACTGGTTTGACTGTAAGCACTGCAGCTGAGTTCCATGTTCTTCTGCCTCATATGCTTCTTAATCTACATCTGTAACTACTACTGACTTGACTGTGAAATTACTATGCTTCCTTACCTTCACAGTGTTATTCTAGAGTCTTTCCATTGAATTTATCCTACAGAAACAAATTTCAATTGCCCATACAAACAAATGTTAGAAGTATATCTTTGTATTCACCTTATGATTGCATAGAAACACTTAAACCACAGTTGTCTTCCACAGCTGAGGCTGAATAGGGGAAGTTTTGTAGGAGATAATTACAGAATTAATCTACATCCAGTAAACGGAATAATACCATTACCATGTAGTGGTACTAACTGATAATTATCTTAATATAAAACTTGTGCAGCAGTGAGGAGAATGAAGGGTTAAACCATTATAGGCTATGGAACACCAAGCCCAGCAACAGGAGGAAGATTTGCTGATACAGTCTCAACCTAATCTCTCTCCTGCTGAGGACCTTGAAAAATCACTTTCTACCAGCACTTCAGTATTTGAAATGAACTGATGCTTTCTACACGTTGTTTTCACTTGAGCAGTTCCATCATTAACTGCTTCAAGTCAACTGGGGAGGGAAATGGTAGTTTCCAATGAAGTGAAGAATAGAAGCCTTACTGGCAGTGAAAATGTGGCTCAAGAATTATTGAAGGAAACTCTGAAAGAGAACCACAGGGAAAGGGGGACTATAGGTCTGCTGTTGTTTACTTGCTTTTGTTGAAAGAATTTAAATTCAATGAACTTAAGGAATTGCTTTGTCATTAGAAGGCTGAAGACCCAGTTCCACCTCCTAAACAAGAAGTCATGAACCCAGTTTTGCAGAATTCTGATACACTTCCAACAAGAGAGCAAAAGGTACCAAAACATTTTTATGAAGGAAAGTACAAGCACCAAATTAATTTAACATGAAAGACTTCAGTTAATAATGTGATTCAACAAAGCTACTGGAAAATGTCACTGTTAATAGACCCTGACAGCTTAGGCCTAGTACCTGCATGGATTCCTTGGATCCCTTCCTGTTGTATGGAGAAACTGTACAGAGTAACAGAGCAGTTTAACAGCCTGGTGGGATTACAAAGGTGAAGTTCAAGCACAGATGGTCAGAATACAGGGAAAAGGTGCAGCTGGTGAGAGATGCTTTCTTACCTAGGAAATAGCTTACTTTAGTACTCATGTTCCACCCAGCTATTTGCAGAATGATCCATCATATAACCTGCTAAGGTGTTTTTTTTTCCCTAGACACTGCTGGACTTGGAAGATGACTTAGATAACTTGGATCTTGAGGACATTGATACCACAGATATCAATTTGGATGAAGAAATCTTAGATGAGTGAACATCATTTTTTAGATGACCAAATCAGTTACTCCAAACAAAGGAATGAAGTTCTGTGGACTATGGCGCTCCAAGTTATTTTGATTTTCATACCAAGTGGACCATGTACATGTAGAAGTGTAGATCCAGGAACTGTACAAAGAGAATCAGCTCCCAGTATGCTGAAATTCAGGATGATGTAGATGTGCTCCTCCGTGTACTAAAAAAAGTTTGCATTTATCAAGCAATTGAATAAATCCTTTTAAACATTCTACTCAGTTCTCCATTTACTAGTGATTCTTCTCAGAGTGGTGTAATTCTTAAGACTAACCCAACTTCAGTAATGTATATTACAGGTACTTGAAACAGGAGCAGAGTAGCTGAACATCAGGATTTTAACCTGACTTCTCTCAGCATATACACTTAGGCATATGGTTGTCTTCACTGTGCTACTTACGCTGTAGCTGGTAACAAGCAGTAGCTCAGTTATTCTTTCAGACACCACTTTTAGCTAAGAGATCTAAGAGGGCAGTAACACATCTTAAGGGTTGGACCCTTGCCTAAAGGAAGCTGTCCCTTCAGTAAGTAGAACTAATTGTGGGCAATTCCTTAGATTCAAGATGTAATCACATAAAAATTTAACTTCAGGTATGATGTCGTAGTGACTGTTGTAAGTGCATTTATAGAACTTTTCAAAATACCTAACTGCTGCAGCTATTCTTACATCTTTTAGTGAAAAGCACTCCAGAACAGTCAGTTTAAAGTATTTATTGTGGAATCCTGTACAGAGAATGTTTACAGACTTAAAACTTGTGCTGAGGCTTACTTCATGAAGCTGTAGAAGTAGCCATTGCTTCCTCATAAGCCTGCAGGGCCAGCTGGATGTAGCCTTCTCTCTGGGATTCTGTTTTTGCAAATACCTGCAAACAAGGCAGGAGGGAGATTAATGTACAGTGAACAGCAGAGTTCCATAATGAGATTTCATCATGCCAGAGGCACATCAGCCACACAGAATCGAAATCCTGGGGCAGGTATAGACAGAGTTTTAAAAAAATCCGACACAGCATGCACAACTGTTCTAGTTAAATAGCTGCTGCTTAAGGTGAGGAGAAATTTAAACTCCTGACGGGTTCTGCTGTTTAAAAGCTTTCTCTTCTGTAGTTAAGTAGCTTAAAGCACAAAAGCCTACCTTGATCAGATCAACTCCTTGAAGTTTCCCTTCTGTAGCTTCTTTGGCTGACTGACATTCAGGATGAAGCATGTGATACAGTGTAATTAAACTTGTAGCATCATCTAGCCTGAACAAATAAAAGACCCAAATAAATTTGTAGCAATTAAGAGTACTTAAAGTATATTTTATGAGGTACTTTGCACACCACAGGCTGCCATAAACTTCTGTCACTTGAATAGGCATCCCATCATCTATTGCCATGGCAAGGAAGACCAGGAGCACATGCACACCAAGCAACAGCAATCAATCCACTTAAAAGTGAAAGTGTATCTATGTGTTCCTAAGCTACTTAGGAATTGTTTTAAACCCCAGAGTGTGTCAACCCTATCAGCCAAAATTGAGCTCAGTAGTGCTGAAGTGTTAGGCTTTAGGATCAGCACTGCCCAGAGCTGAACGCATTCTGACAATTACATGGGAAACAAAAATAAAAACCCAACAACTACAAAAGGCTAATTTCTGCAGAAAACTAGTTTAATACCCTACAACTTTCATGAACTGCAGCTGGTGCTTCAATATAGCTAAAAGCACCTATCTAGCTAACAGAGCTAGCCTAACATTCCATGCAGATTAAAAATACTGGTTTTGTTTTCCAGCACTGCTATTTGTTGTTAGATAAGCAGAATTAGTACGTGACAAACACTACTTACAAGTCTCTGTTGATCATATCTATGAGTAAGCCATCTGTTTTCTTTCTGCTGACCAGATACCACACCATTCCTCCAAAGTGCCTTGTTGACCTGAGCAGGTCATACTTGCCATGTTTGTCAATGTCATCATATGTCCGGTGATGGACCTGTGCACACAAAAGGTTTCAGTTCCATTAACTGGAGCTCACTGACAGTTATAATTCAGGGTAACACTGAGTCAGCCCAGTTCTTAGTACTTACAGAATCAATTAGGTTGGAAAAGACCTCTAAGATCATCAAGTGCAACCTATGACCTAACACCACCCTGTCAGCTAGACCATGGCACTAAGCGCCACGTCCAGTCTCTCCTTAAACACCTCCAGGGGCAGTGACTCCACCACCTCCCTCAGGCACAGACATCTTGATGGTAAAAGGAAGCTGAATACCAGCTATGTCCTGAACATTTGGGGAGGGAGGGACATAACCTCTGAATCTTAGGCCTTGAGGGGAAGCCGTATGAGGAGTGGCTGAGGTCACTTGGTTTGTTCAGCCTGGAGGAGACTGAGGAGAGACCTCATCACCGTATACAACTTCCTCATAAGGGGCAGCACTGATCTCTCTGGCAACCAGTTACAGGACCCAAGGGAATGGCATGAAGTTGTATCAGGGGAAGTTTAGGTTAGATATTAGAAAAAAGGTTCTTTGCCCAGAGGGTGGTTGTGCACTAGAACAGCTCCCCAGGGCAGTGGTCACAGCCCCAAGCCTGACAGAGCTCAAAAAGCATTTGGACAATGCTCTCAGGCACAGGGTGTGATTCTGGGGATGTCCTGTGCGGGGCCAAGAGTTGGACACAATGATCCTCGTGGATCCCTTCCAACTCTGAATATTCTGTGATTCATTTCACTGCTGTCAAATTGCAACCTCAGGAGAAAAATACTATAGAAAAGAGGTGGAATTTTACTTTGAAGAAAAGGTATCTGCAAAATTGCCTAACAGAAATTACATTTTCTCAAATCACTGAGACTATTATAGTTTAAAGAGAAGTAAACATTTTAAAAGGCAAGTGTAGACTAATACATTCACCAGCAGCTACAGCCATTAACTTTAAACAGTTCAGCTTGAACTGCATTTTTGCAGTGCTCTTGGTGCACTTTGCCTGGTCCTTCCAAGTCCTAACAGAGCAGCTGGCATGACTTCAGCAGCACAACTCTACTCATGGTCACTTACAGGTATTTATGATCAACTCTGGTTTGATACCAAAAATACCTGTATAATGACTATTTTTTGCAAATGTAGTACCTTCCTGTGCTGGTGAAAATTACTTACACAGAATCCTGTTTTTCTCTATGCATAAAAATAAACCCCAAAACTCATCACAAGGATAACCAGTGATCTATATTGGGGGGAAAAAAGAGCATGTGACCAATACCTTTGAACCCCAGATAATACTTATGTTTACAAGACAAACCACTAAAGTTCTTCACTAGTTTGGGCTTTTTTGCTAGAACAATGAAATGTGAACTCACTCTGATATAGTCAGATGAATCTGGCTCAAACTGAGCAATGCACATGTTAAGGAGATCTTCATGACGGTCTTGCTGAAATACATTCTAAAACAACAGTTCAAATTCAGGACTGCATTATTTATCACACCATTCCAACTCTCCAAAATCAAAACCGCAGTCACAACATTCTGTTCTGGGCAACACTTCCAGTGAATATCCCCTTAATCACAAGACACAATGGATACAAGTACAGTAACTGTTGTGATTACATTAATACAGTATTTCTTCTTTCAGAATAAATGTCCAATTTCATCAGTGCATAACAAGTACGTGTAGATTTCTGGTATGACAGAGTATTTACACCTACCCAGGATTTACCTAGCCTTAACCTGGCACTTTATTGCCAGTATTTTAACCAAGTTACAATGATAAGCAATTGTTCCAAGCAGAATTGAGGCAGCTGAACACACACACACACAGAGAACGGCTTATTCAGAATAACTCTGCTCAAAGAGCACAATGAAGTAAAAATTATCAGTTCTCACACCCAGGAAGAGCTTACCCCAAGGTGTTCGTCCTTGAATAACACTGGAGGAATGACCCTGCGCCCTTCTTTGGGGAAGAATATCTGGATCATTCTGTCTCGCTCTTCCCACGTGGCTTTGCGCAACACACCGTTGGGTTCCCTCACCACAATGAAACGTTCCTGAGCACAGAGAAAAAGAAGAACATTATCTCCCAATTTCTCTCTTCACAGCCAGAACCACTGCAAAAAAGACTGATTTGTCAAAGTCCTTCTGTACCTGAACTCACACCACAACGCCAGTCCCTAACTGACTGTTGCTACATGCACGATTCCTCACTTCTGCCTTGGTACCTGCTCATTAAGAGCTACTTTGCACCTTCATTTTACATAATTCTGCATGTGCCTATACCAAAAGCTACAGCTCTGTGAAGTGTAGACAGACAATATAACTCACACCCAGACCAGGGAGTTAGCCTTGCTGCTGGCCTGATTTTAAACATTTAATAACACACAAAATTAAGAACTAAGTGCCTTGCACTTTTTTACCTCTGTTTCAGAGGTGGTTGCTACAATCAAGTTAGGGCAAGTGCAAGGCAAAAAAATACAACAAAGAGAATATATTCAGATCTGTTCAAAGCATAATTGACTTAGAGCAGAAGATGGGAATGTTTGTTGGGACAAAGAAGTGTTCAACACACTGACACAGCAGAATAAACAGCAGGTTCCTGGAGAGAGCTCTCAGACGGAGTAACAAATTGAAGACTGGGCAATTAATTTCACAGGATCATCACTATATGCACATCTGAACCATGGAGACTTCTTGGTTAAGAATTTTTCCAGCCTCTTACTACTGATACTTAAGGACAGCCAAGATATTTCATTATACAAAGAAAACTATCCTTATATTTCACAATTCTATCTGACAACTATTTCTTTCCAGCTTTCCCATGAATTCATTCATCATTTGCTCAGCTTTCCAGCAGATCTCTGCAACTGTGAAGCACCTCCATCTTTTAGCCTCTGTACTAAGTCATCCAATTCCATAGAAAGCTTCTAGGAAGTATGGAAGAGCCCAGCACTCCTGGCATAGCACAAGCATTTGCTTATAAGACAATTAACTAACTACCCCACAGCTTCCCCCCACACCTGCTTTTGAGTACTAGAATGTAGTTTATCATTCTTAGTTCGAAGCATTTCGAAACATGTTTCTCCATTGCCTTGTACCAGACTAAATTTACAGCTCCTCAGCCTTTTTGCAAGCTGATACAACTACATTTTTATTCAAGGTTATTCTGAAAGCGAATTAACACTGTTAACTGTGTTACTTACACGATGTGGTATGGAATAAGTTAAATCTGTAAACACATATTTTGTAGTTTCAGTTCCTTCAAGGCATTTGTCTTCTGCCAAGACATCGTCGATTGGCTTTCGTTCATCCAAAACAGGAGGCATGACTAGCTTTGCTTTAGCCTCCTCAATGGCTTTTCTTGTGGCCTTGAGGGAGGAAAAAAAAGTAGTTTAATTTTACAATGAAAAATATCATCCTACTGGAAAGTTAGCATACAATTTGGGGACAAATATTTTCATTTAGAGAGGTATTTATCTTTTTATTTCCTTCTGCAGTTGAGAAAAAGCAAGACACTAATTCTATCTCCAGGCAGATCACAGAATCATAGAATTTAAGGGCTGGAATGTACCTTACAGGTCATCTAGTCCCAACCCCCTGCCGTGGGCAGGGACACCTCCTCACTAGATCAGGATGCTCAAGGCCTCATCCTGCCTGGCTTTGAACAGTCCCAGGGTCAGGGCAGCCAGCACGTCCCCTGCTCAGACCGTCAGAGGCTTTTTGCTAAAACCAACACTTACTTCCGAAGGAAGCAGAGCAGCCTACCTCTTTCAGCTGAGCTTCAGTCATGAGCTTGTACTGCGGCGGCTTCAGCTCCTTCTTCACGGGCCGGAACACCTTGTGCAGGTCCAGCCCCGTCATTTTGTACAGCAGCGTTTGCACCGCCTCATCCGTGAAGGCAGGCTTGGGCGCGGGGCCCGGCCCGGCGGCCTGTCCTCCTGCGGGGCGACAGCATATACTGAGA